TGGCATGCCCCCAAAAGGTATATAGGCATAGGTCAGCAATATAGAGCTCTCTGATCTCTCTGACCCCTCGCTCGGACCACTCGCTCCCTGGTCGCCTCCTTCTCTTCCCCCTCTTCTCTCCCTTCCTCTCTCCCTTGTTCCCTTGCCCTCCTTCCCTTCCCCCTCTCTCCACGTGGACCACCACGCTGGGCTGAGGTGAGTAATGCTACCAACCATGTAATGTGCCTGACTGCATTATTGTATCTCTCATGCTCTCGGTGACTTTAATATAATACTTATATATCTCAACCGTACAATTGTGCTTACTGAACCCGTGGGTAGTATTATTATTAGTAGTAGTAGCAGCGGGTGGGGCCTGGCACCTCACTCTCATCCCTACCCCCTCTCCATTTTAATTTAATACTACAGCTACTGGTACCAGTGAGCTGCAACAGAAAATTTAAAGTGGTCTCTGGTTGGTATTATCTGTAACGACTGACAAGCGAATGCAAATGCTTTCCGGAAGAACTCTAATGCAGGCGAACAAGGATGGCGAGACTTTGGACCTGACTTTGGGCACATCATCTGGAAGCATCTCTAGAAAAGCCTTGTCTGATTAAGTTGGGGGAGGCAGGTGTCACTGAAAATGAGGGAAACCTTCCATGTGAAAGATTACTGCACTCAAACGCACAGTGATCCTGAAGATGGCACATGGCCAGACAACATCTCACTGGTATGCATTAGGTCGCCATGGGGCAAAGCTGACTCTGGCAGCCATAGAGGACACTGTGTCTGCTTCTAGACACCGGAGATCCAGGAAGAATCAAAACTGACAGAAATCTAATCTTCCTGAAGCTGACCTTTTAGTGTGGTGGGAGGTGGGCAGATACCGAATGGCCTCCTTTTGGTGATACATGCTACAAAGGAAAAGATAGCAGTTTAGAGGAATGAAGAGTCAAGGTAGGGGAGATTGTTTCAGTGTGATCAGATCTGTTGTTGCTAAGTACTGATGGATGGGTTCAGACTCATCGCGACCCTATGTTCAACAGTGAGTTAGTTAATTGTGCCAACCTGGCCGATAATCACATGTGGGGCTAATTGAAAGGCGGAGAGATAAATGGGTGGTGAACCTCGCCTTTCTAGTTCTCAGGTCTCTTGCTTTGTGCTGGTCGCACCAGGGTGCAGCTGCCTTAGCAGTACCCTGCTTCAGCTCACAAGATTGACTTCCTACAAGACATCCCCAAGGAGAAGCCACATGGACCTATCCCGATGCAGCCCTGGGTGCT